AAGAGGCAACGAGAGAGAGAGAGAGAAAGAGACTGTGGAGCCGCCATCATCTGAATGAATGCAAATTGGCGCTGCCTCCATCCGGCATCATGCCAAGTATCTATAGCAACCACATCCTCTGACAGCCTCCATCCATCCCTCCCTCCTTCACTCTCTCGGCCTAATTAGTCCTCTATCTTCCCTATAGCTCTTTTCTTCTGGTGTTTTTTTCCTCCCACTTTCCCAAAAATCTTTGCACAAAGGAGTGTGGACCGAGCTTCATGCCTGGTTTAAGAAGCGAACCCCTTTTTTAACCTAATTCAGAAAGATGCACAGGAACACAAACACCCAAAAAATCAACCTTAAATAAAATAGGTCATTTCTTTCTAGAGACCTCAGTGCCTTTAAATCTACTCTGAGATCATCAGGATTATAATAATTGTCCCCCTTTTTTCAATTTGTTGGGTCTGTTCTCAGTATTGCGGGGGGGGGGTTTTTCCCCTTCTTTCATGTGTTGCTGCGTTCACGGTCAAGTTCAAAGCGGCAGAGCGGCCTCGGGCGGAGCAGCAGCTCCATCTGACCCAGTACACCTGCTATCTTTAGCCCCAAGAGCCGGGCTGCACCGCCACCTGCTGACCGACGTGTATTCCTGCAGCAGAAGGCGCTCAACCATTCATAGGGAAGCAGCGCCCTCGAGTGGTGATTAAATGTCATTACACGATAAACAGGCGTGAGAAGAAGATCCATAAATATTTGGACAGACTAACATTAGTTTGAGTTATTGAATTTGTCACTAATTAGCTAACTCAGTGTTAAACAAGGACAATAAAACTAAATAGCAGCCTAGGGAGATCACTTTTGAAAAACAAGGATATACGTTCCACTATCACTCTATTTTTTATGAATAAAGACTGTGTGGAGGCCAGGCTGTTTGAATCCGCTGCATCAGTGTTACCAAACGGCTAAGCTGGAGTCAGACAATAGTTTTTCTTTATGCACAGGCTGTGGTCAGCTGAGCTGCTGCTCTGAGATTTACTGTTCTTTGTGACTTTACACCACTGAATTCAACAAAATGTAAGGAGACGTTTCACGAGCCATCTTTCCCCAACACTGTTTATACTATCTTTGTTGGTAAAAAGGCTGAATTCAGTAAATGAATCTGAGTATCATCAACTTCAATTCAAGTTCTTAATATGTCCTCACTCTGACCATGAACACCACAGAAAACAGCCCAACACAGTGCTATACTGTTAATTCACCACACCACAGCAAGCTAGCCTGTTTATCCTGCTCCAAACTGCCAGTATTTTAATAATACATAGTTAATACAGCCCAGTTTGTTTTACAGGACGTTTCACAATAAGAAAAATTATATATCAAATCATGTGGAGTTCCAATATCTGATTTAAGAATGATAACATTACATGTTTTACATTTCCAGTTTATCAAATGAAACTGAGCAGTCTTACCTTTAAATATAATCTTTCTTCTTCCTCTCCAGTACTGTCTTTCTTACTTCGTTCACTCTGTGAAACAAAGGAGTCGTCTCTTTAGCTAGCGTGGTAAACTGCACAGAAACTGTTTTTGTTATCTGATATTTGATGAGCTGTTAGAAATGTTGCATTTGAAATTACCGGAAACTTGAAAATGTTACCCCACTTAAGCTAGCTCTTCTTCTGTACCAACAGCTAGCTAGATGCTGAAGTGCAACAACCACAGCTTGGACAAAAACAGCCCTCCAGATCGTTTGAGGCACCTTTTCTTGACAAAGAAACACACAGATGTTAGTGTTGAATTTGTATATGTTTTTACTTTAACTATAAGTAAGTCTGACCCTAATGCCTAATGAGATGGCAGTGCAAGTGAAGGTCATCATTAGGCTAAAAACTTAAGTCTATCCGAGAGACAGTAAAAAATGTAGGATCAACCAAATCATTAACCTGGTTTGTGCTGAAAAAAGAAGAAATGCACTCATCAGCTCATCAACACCAAAGTGCCCCAAAGACCAGGGAAGACAACTAAAGTGCATGAAGACAGAATTATTGAACGTTAAGGAAAAACAACAACATCCAATCATGAGACACCTTCGTGAATCATGAATGTAGATACAAAGGGTTTACAACAGGTAAAAACCACTGGTTACACTCAAGAATAGGAAGGTCAGATTATACTTATAGTTTATCATTATACAAATGATTCAAGTGATTCATTGGTTTCGTAAGAAATTTAAATATGCAAGTAGCTTAACAGGTTAGGTTGGCTATCAAAATGGGATCTCGCAAGAAGACCAGAATCTATGAATATGTAAATAGTTTCAATTTGAGTCCGTTTTCATCAGGTTTGCACATCACACGTGTTTGAGACCAAAATTAGCTTTTCATAAGCAGGTATAGCTCTTCAATTCACTGTTTAGGTTTTTATAACTCTGCACCGACATCATGCTGACCAGCAAATGTTAAATATCCCCCTAAAAAAACAAACAAAAAAACAAAAAAAACACAACAACAACAACAACAACAACAACAACAAAACTCAGTTTGAGGGGGGAAAATTCTTTAATATCAATCCAAACAACACTCCAAGCACAAAAATACATCAGTCTGGGACATTAAACCAAAACTAATTATCACAAATCAATGTGTTATCAACATTGTAGACTCTGATGTTACAGACGCATCATCATCGTCACTACAGGCCAGACACAGGTTGTGGTTATCAGTAGCTATGTTGACATTCAGTTGGCACAAATCACTAGAATTTAACAACCAGCTGTTGAGTCACATCTGCACCCAAACTGGAAAAACAACAACAACAAAAAACACCACAAGATAATCGGCTGTGACACTCAAAGTAGAGTTATAAGTCTACATGTACGGGTTAAAACAATTAACATTTGATTTTACAAGAGGAAACAAAAAACACTCGCACCAGAGTAAGTCGTTGTAGTATGTCAGTATTTGTTCTTGTTACACGCCTGTTGTGTTCCCATCTAAAGATCATTTTGTGTTAGACAAAAAACAAAAAAACACAACTTTTTGGCATTCAATGATTGTCTGGAAATGGAAATCAAACAAGCTCTTCGTGTTATACTCATCTGCTGGTAGATCAGAGAAAAGATCATAACAATGCAACAATCACGGTTATTCCAATTTAAATCAGAGTATGGCGTGTTGGAGAAGGGGCAAAACCAAACCAGTAACTTTGCTTTTTTAAATTCTGCCTTCATGGCTTTAAATAAGTCCTAAATGTGTTGGAATGAACTGGGAACTGAGAATCACCTTTCATGGTGATTTACTCTCCAAGGCAGTTTAAGCTTTACAAAACTCGCATACAAAACTGAACCTGAAGAAATACATTCAGCCACTGAGGACTAACAATTTCTAAACTTCAGAGCATCTGCTTCTTCTTACTGAGAACATCCAGACTGAAGCAAGGCTAGAAAATGGAAGAAACCTCCAGAAAGGTTAGTAGAAGCAGCTCAGTCGTAGTAAAAACATTACTATCCTTTGCTAGGCACTTAGAGTGAGGAAATACCCTTCGTTCAGGTTTCACTTAATGTATTCTTTTAACCAAGCACACTTTCATATGTGCTAATTACAGACCAAATTCTCATTGATCTAAGCTTTTCTTCTGCTACCTAAGGCAAGGAGTAAAGACAACTGATATTAAAACACTATACATGCATCTGCCCACAGCTGATGGAGCAGATATATGGACTGGAGATGCTGTATGTCACAAATCTTCCTCATTTACAGAGGTCAACTAAAGTCAAAATATTGTGTTATGTTCAGGAGATCACCTGAACGCTACATTAATTCCAACAAACAATTTCCACGAGCAGACAAAGAAAATGAGAAAATGATTTCCAGAGAAGGCAGGATACAGGAGTGTAGGGATTGTAAAACTCCCTGTAAAACCTCCCCTACCAGATATGTTTAAGAGCGATGCCGATATTTGTTGATTTAAAAATTAGATATATATAGGCTGATATTTTCTTTTTCTGTCAGACATAAAAAACATAGACAGATTTCATTAACATTTGTTATGCTTAGCTATTTGTCAGTGTGTTACATTGTTCAGCAACACAGTAATGTAACAAGTTACTGTACTAAATTCAGTAATCACATCACGACGTGCATTACAAATCTGCACAAAATGGGAAAATAGAAAAAAAGAAGAAGTGGATCTTACTTTACTTAGACTTCACCTCTGACGTGTTTATTTATTTAAAAAGAAGTTTGTGGTTTCAATCCCAGCTGTGCTCATTACTTTTACTTTTATTTTGGAAAAACATGTTTAAAACTATCCAAAAAGAATAATACCTATATCACGTTGAGTACGCTGATGTCTTGTAGGCACTAACAATGGAACAATTATCATTATGCTTTAGCAGTGAATCTGTCCCTGGATAAACCAACAAGTAGATTTAAAAAAAAATTAAGTGATTGCATTTTAATAAACTGAAACATTTTCCAAATCTCAAAAGCTATTTTCTAAACTATTAGTATTTCTCATGTTGTTAATTATTATTTGGTGAGGTTATCTGCTGGTCTAAGATCAGAATATTACTTTGGGCACTGTCATCAGTCAGATTAGGTTTTCTCGTTTTGGTGATTAATCTTCCCATTTTTTAATCATCAATTAAACATCCATCCATCCATTCGCTTCCGCTTATCCTTTTCAGGGTCGCGGGGGGCGCTGGAGCCTATCCCAGCTGTCATAGGGCGCAAGGCGGGGTACACCCTGGACAGGTCGCCAGTCTGTCGCAGGGCCAACACACAGGGACAGACAATCATTCGCACTCACATTCACTCGCACATTCACACCTAGTGGTAATTTGGATTATCCAATTAACCTATCCCCACAAGCTGCATGTCTTTGGACGGTGGGAGGAAGCTGGAACCCGGAGGGAACCCACGCAAACACGAGGAGAACATGCAAACTCCACACAGAAAGACCCCGGCCTGATGTTGGAATTGAACTCAGGACCTTCTTGCTGTGCGGCAACAGTGCTAACCACCGTGCTGCCCATCAATTAAACAATTGTACATATTTAAAAATATAAATCTTTCAAATTCACTGCTGAGTTTCAGTCACAAGCCTTGCTTCTTATTCCTGTTACAGATGACACCTCATGCCCTCTGCTCCGCTTGGCTCTACTCGTCTGCTCACCCAGCTCAGCTGTTCTGCCTTGGTATGTAAGGTCCAAGTATAGAAACTATTGACACTGCTCAGTTTCTATGAGCCTGCATCAGTACTGTCAAAATGTTCATCTGCATCATTCAAACAAACTCCAAGTCCCATCTGCTGCCACAACTCTACATTAACACTTCTAATTGATATGTGACGATTAGAAAAACACGTGATTGTGTGCTGAGGTAAAGTACAATACTGAGAACTAAATTATCTTTGTAACAGAACTCAAATGATCTCTTCACTATGTGTTTGCATATTTCCAGTCAAGTTAGCAAATACTGCTAAAAGCTCTACACTGAGTCCTCCTCCCTAACCAGGAGATTTAAAGTCATTCCAGTGACATGTCACAGTCTAGTGTCAAGTCACGTTTTTAAAAACAAAACAGCCGGGAATGGCAGCGAAGAGACAGACTGCACAGCTGTCACGCTGGCAGCAAATGGAAGACACATTTGTGTAATGTGTGTACTTCGTGTGTGTCCAACATCAGCGACACATATGAGGGTGAAGATATAAAAATGCCTCTTGATATACTGTACTTTTTAAAAACACCACCACAGATAAATGACATATGTAAAAGCAACACCTCTCAGACTGTGTCAGCAACAATGAGACACTGTAAACGTCACAAAGAGGGCTGTGTACATGTTTAGCTGTTCTTTCTAAATATCAGTGTGTAACATCTCACATTTGGGGGATGACCTAACTACTTGATGTGCGTTACTTAGGGCTGAGAACCAATAAGCATATTTCCACTAAAACTGAGACGCTGTAGTCCCAGGAACTTTTTCCCAAAGAACTACAAGGTTCCTTCATATTGTTACTTGTCTGTGTTTCTACAATACTCTCTTTTCCATTAATGTTTCAGAGCTTATTAGAAAGAAAAAAAAACATCCAAAACAGCCTCCCAAATGTTCCTAGTTCTTAGGGGAAGTGGTTCCAGCAGTGAAAAGGCCCCAATAGTTTAGCTGGAGTAACTGTAGTATCTGTATTTATACTTCAGATATGAATCTAAAGCCTATGACATGATTAAAGTGAAAAACAATCGCTATGTGACGAAAACTTTCTAAAAAACACTATGGGCACTGGTAATTCTTTTTTGTTGGCACCACCATAAAACACAACTAAACAACTAATAAAACTGTGAATTCAATCTTCAGGAGTGCCACTGAAAAAACACTAGACTGTGAGCTTTTAATATTTCAGCTCAAACTAAATCAAACCATTTGATAGCAGTTACAAAGCTGCTATCACACTTAAACATACTACAACACCATTTATGGCATATAATTTGCATTAACTAACGTCATAACCTTTGGTATATTTTCTTAAAATAAATTTCCTTCAAACAAATCTCAACAAGGGCATATCTTACTCTTATTAAATGAACGCATTTTTTAAAACTCATGGGAAATGAGTGGAAACCAGCATTGCACTGGAAAGTAAAAGATTTAAAATGATACACATGGCAGCTGTGTGTGTGTACCTTTTAACTCTCTGGATTACAAATGTACTGAGAGGGTAGGAACATTACAATTCATGTGTACACACAAACGTATTGATGATATTGCACTTAGATGTACATGATAACAAGGCGTACTATCCAACTTACCTCTGTTACACACAGACAAAGCGAGAGAATAAATTTTTATTACCCACGCATCCTGAGCCACTGTGCTTTTTGCTTTTAACCAGCAATACCCATTTTTCACTCTTGCTTCCTCTTCTGTCTCACCAGAGTGGGCTTACAGGGATCTACTCAACCCTCTACCCCCATTTTCAACTCTCTTTGTCATTATTATGGAGTAGTATAACCCATTTGATGAAGCTTCTTCAAGAGAATCTGAGTGAGGTCAAAGGTGGTGAAGCTAATCCCCACTGCAATAGGTCCTTTAACCCAGTTCATACTGAGACCTTTGTAGAGTCCGCGGATAACCCCTTCCTCGGACACAATCTCCCTCATGGTCCCCAGGATGGTGCGGTACGTGTGACCTGTGACACCCGCAGTCTGCATCCGCCGCCGTACTACATCCAGAGGGTAAGACGCAGACTGGCTGATGAGACCTGCACAGGCTCCAAAAGCCAGGCGTTCGTATGAGTAGGGCTGCTGGCGGCCGCTGTGCTCTGCGTGGAAGAGAAACGTGTGAGGTTTAAGTACTGTACATGAACAGCAGCTGTGCACAGAAGGAAAGGAACAGGGCTAGATCAATACAGATAAACATGTGGCTGTTGAATACCTGCATGCAACTTCTTCAGTGTCTCATAGGTAAAGAAGCTGAGGCCAGCATAGGGGGCAACACCCAGTATGGTGGGAGTAAAGCCTCGATACAGTGTTTTCATGCCCTCTTCTCGAGAGATCCGCACAAACACATGCAGAATGTTACTGTACCTAAAACAGAAAAATATTAAAAATATAAATGTGTTTTAGTAAAAGATGGATGAGAAATTCAGAAGAAAAGAAAAAAAAATTGTACTTTACATCTTAGATCATAGAAGTTGACTCAGTCTGCACAAGTGTGCAGTTAAAGTCCATTAGAGGCTAAATAGGATCACACAATACCCCAGCTGACTATACAGTGAAGATGTGAAAATGTGCTGTAGTAATATCGTCTGCATTATGGTTGCACAACCAACTATGTTTATTCTCAAAACAAATGAACAACATTTCAGGTTTTTAGTGATGAATTTGTCTAAAGTGACATAGTGACACATAAAAAATCTATAAATGACTCAAGAAATTGATTTAAAACACAATTACACAGCTCTGAAGACAAAAGGAGGTCTAGCCCAGTACGGGCAAGGTGTACCTAATGTAGTGGCAAAGTGAGTGTATGTATAACTACCCTAAACATTAACCATGTTTCATGACCCTTGGATTGTTTTGCTGATGCTATTAACAAACTCCCAACTATGCCCAGAAGACAATTTATAATAACTTCAAAGTTGGCTTACATTTCCTTTGGCGTTACAGCCATCCTCGCACGCACCATATCAAGAGGATATGTCATCATGGCGGCAGTGATACCAGCCATGGACCCAGCCAGCAACCTTGGGACTGGAGGTAGGGCACTGCAACCAAAAAAAGGAAAAAACCCGTCAGCACTTCAGCCCTTTTATGTCTTTACATAAGAAAACATTTCATAAACAAGCAAAACACAGATACGTACTTTCCCTGAAAGCCATAGTAGCCTCCCAGCAGGCCCTTGTACTGCTCGTGTGCGCAAAACTGGATGGCAGCGTACGGGATGACTCGCACCATGGTGGCAGAGTTTCCCCTCCACAAACTGAAGAAGCCCTCCATCAGGTAGGTGCGGTAGATCAACCTGTAAGCTTCCTTTAATTCAGTGTGCACAAAGATATACTTGCTCACATTAACACGAAATTAACATGATGCACAAATATGTGTACCCAGTTTTATTTCTGCTAAAAAAAAAAACTAAAAAAACAAACAAACAACAAAAAAAACGCTTATAAATAGGAAGCATGCTCAAACATACCTTGGCAGAGAATCTTGCAGAAGACACTGAAAAACAAAATACATAAACAATATAAAAACCATACCATCCTTATTTGTACAGCACTTTAAAATAAACCAGGGTTCACAAAGTGCTGTACACATACAAATGGCATAAACAGAAAATAAAATCAAAGATGTTAAAAATAGAGATTCTTTAAAAAATCTGCAGTGTTTCTCACAAGTCCAGTCATTTTTTAAGTAATATCAATAATATGATTTTTTAGGTATTTCCACACTAGTCCCAACAAGATGTAATCATATATGTCCTTTATTCAGGTCACTGTTGTAAATTAGCAGAGCAGCCAGCTTGCCTTGGAAGATGATTTTAGTTCTGTCCAATGGGGCGACAGCTGTCTTGGCTACAGCTCCTGCTAAAGCCCCCGAAAAGAGCGAGTTGATAACAGACCGAGTCTGTTTCATCCCCTGCAAAGACAAATAATCACATTTTAGGTTCAAACAGAGACACTGTACATTTGCAAATTGTTGTGTTTGCTATAGTGTTGATCAGTAAGCAGGGGTTACATCAGGATAACAGTTGACAGATAACTAACCAGCTAACAAAACCTCCTAAATAGAAGCAGATGTGGTTAAATGAAACAGAGGGGTCATGAAGCTCCAAAGACCTGCTCAGTTCATGAATTTCATTTTCAGCTAACAGAATGAGGGGTCTCTAGTGCACAGTACAGTACTAAAATAGTGTTACAATGCCACTATATTCTGCAAATAACATATGACTTGATAGGATGCAATCACAGAAGTGATGGGACAACTGTGGGGGAATGAATAATCATGTAAGAAAACCCATTTAAACATAACTGTATGATAACATAAGGCATATTTATATATCCATTACACACATACACAATTTTAGAAATGCATGCATGCAAATAAATATATCTAGCTAAACTGTCTAACTATTCAATTTAATAGTTCAGTTAGTAAGATAAAGTCCCTACAATAACGCAGATAAAACCCCAACAATTAAACGACCCCCTAACTGCAAAAACCTGGTAACAGTGTGAAGGAAAAACTTCATTTTAACAGGAAGAAACCTCCGGCAGAACTGGACTCAGGGGCAGCTATCTGCCAGAATCCGTTGGGGGTGACAAAAATGGCTGACTCCAGAAATAATTGTACAACCCCCTGGAATGTCAACATTAACACAATAATGACTTTTTTTCCTCTAAACACAATTAGTCACAATTAAATAAAATTTATTAACAAACCTGAGCTGTATGATTACCCTGATCCTGTATAAATGTGCTCACCTCTGACTGACTGGAGGAAGCCAGTGGGAGCACTTCACCCTGTGTGAGTGATGCCCGTTGTTCCTGGACTCCACTCCCCATCCCCGAGGATTATGAACCAAGCACGCTCATGAATTGAACCGCTGGTGGCAGCGGTGATGCTGGTGGGGAGTACAGGAGGCTAGAAGCTACAGGGAAGAAGGAAAAAAAGAGGAAAAACAAACACAGTTAAGTTTCATGTCAGTCTATGTATTTTTAAACAGATTTTCCTGTTACAGCAAGGAAGTTGTTTGAAAACCCTTTTTCCTGGTATGCCTCACCTCAGAAAAAAATGTTCATACTCCACATTACACAACTTTTAATGAATCAGAACAAAAAGAATATGACATCAGCACTGTCATCCACTCTTTGTTTATTTTCTCTAAAATATTCTTATGTCCTTTTACCTGATTGTCCACCCGCCACAGTTTGATAACCAGTGCTCTAATTAGACTGCATGATTATTTATGGCCTCAATGAATCATAACAAGTACCACAGAATCAAAGTCTGGTCTCAAATCTATTCTACTTAACCGCCCTCTTTCTTATATGCTTACAACATGAGTTGAGAAACAAGATGTTTATCTGTACACAATAAACTAGAAATACAATACACACCGATGTGAATAACTACCTCAAGAATAGCCTACTTACTCTGAACCACCTGCCCTCATGAAAACTGCAGCTAAGTGGAGGCACAATAGATCACTCCTGAAGGACAGAGGACTTGTAGGTGAAAGGTGTCTGAGTGACACAAGCACTCCTGAATCCTCTCCCTTTGCTGGAAACAAGTTTGCAGTGTAACCACAACTTTGAACATTCAGGACAATCCTCCAGATCTCATCGATAAAGACAAGTTGACCTTTAGAAGACAAACATTATTTAGAGTGAACTCACTGATTTTAACAATAGAGGTATTTGCATGGCTTTAAAGAACTAATCACTTCACCACATAGATCACATATTCATGTAATGTTCAACCCATCCACTCTGCTTTATCAAGTCCAAAGCTATCAAATATCTAAACCTGAGCTGAAGAAACACCAACAACAAGATGCAAATTAGTAATTCACATCCAGTCTACACAAGATCTACAAGTTTCACACATTCAGAAGAAAGAATGAAAATGATCAGCAACTCTTTTTCTTTGGGTTTTCATGTGAAGAATTTTACTTATTTGTGTTTTTTGTTTGTTTTTTGTCATCATGGGACACACGGATACTTCATCAGTATAAGATCAAATCTGCTTATGACTATGACTAATGTTTATCTGTTGTGTAACATTCATTTTATGCTGTATAATTCTTCAAGCATGATGAACAGCTGACTTGCCCTAAAAGTTTTTCTTGTTTACAGTTTTGCCAACAAACTAATACTGGCACTGGTATGATTAAGTGATGATCTGCCCTTTCAGATTTATATTATTACGGAGAATATGGGTCACTTAGTTTTTGATATACATACAAGCTCAGTACAGGATTTGTGGATGCTGAATATTTGTTAAAACATTAAAAAAACAGCCCTTAGAAACACCAGAGTTCAAGAAGAAGCAGTGAGAAGCTGGCGAGAGACAACAGTGAAACTGTAAACCGAGGGTTGGCTCAAAAGTTGGGTCAGAGGCAGCAAATACTGGCAGCAGTGCAACAGGCCTTGTACCCACCTTTTCACAGCAGCCACCATCCCAAATCTCAGGCCATCTCACACCCCTCCCTAAAGCTTCTTTCCCCATGCATATCATCTTACAGTTCCTTATTCCTCACTTGTTTCTGTCCTGCTATGTCTAATTTGTGTGCCTTAGGCTTCATTACTCTGTAATACAGGACAGCATTCCCATGCTATACACATGCAGCCTGTGGAGATTTTATAGAAAGTGTATTATCAAGAATAAGGGAGTCAAAAAAGGCAACTTAATACTTATGGGTAAAGCGTGGGTTTAATTTTGTGCTGTATTTATCAAGAATAAGTCCATGAAAATTATTGGAAGTCTAAGTGGAACAAGTTGAGAGCAAAATATGACCACATGCTAGCTGTGGGAAACAGAAAATACATAAGCATAAATACTCAAAAGGCATCACAATTATCTGCGGATTATCTGAATAATCAGCAAATGTAAGAGTGTAGTGTTGCTGGAGAGAAGTGGATCATCAACATCATGAGCTGCTCATGTTGCCTGCCTCCTTAATACATCAGTTTTGTAACAGCGCCGTGTCCCATATGTTGCCATTTGCCTCGGCATTTATTAAACTGTAAACCAAAGCAGGGTTACAAGTCAACATTACTGCAGTAGAAGTGGACACTTATTCATTAAACGATCACCATGCCTCGCCTTTCTGTTTCTGCCCGCTGCTCCAAACCTGTCGACACATGCCCGCAAACAAAACACAGCCACCCTCTGAAGCCAGCGACCTGTCACTGCTTACACAAACACATTTCTTACCTTATAAAGCCGACACCGGCATCAAGAGCTGTCACGTTTTGATATCCCCTCTACTGGCGCGTTATTTCCAGCCGTTAGCAGTTTCTTCAGGAGTTATTTCTAAGTTAGCCAAATACCAGGTTAAGTAAGGTAAGCTAGCCGTTAGCCCGCCGTTTAATTCGCGTCTATTTTCTCGGTAACAGCGTACTGCAAATGTTAACCATGAGCTAATGTCTTGACTGGAAATGTGTCCTAATGTTGAAGGTGCCTTTTAAAATACGTTTCTCACATGCTCTAGAGCTGCAGTGACTCTAAGTGACAGGCTTCCTCCATTGTGGGCTCTGCCGTTACTACTCCTGTCAGCCAGGCGAGGCGGTTCGCAATGACCACAGTGAGGTTTGACAAGGACGAGCGCAGGTGCATTGTGGGAAATGAAGTCTCAGTGAGGTGCGGCACGCTTGGATAGGTCAGTTAGAGGGGCGTGAGTAGGAGAGCCACTTAGCAGGCAGTGGGCCTCCTGCAGTTTCTTGCTAGAGATACAGGGTCTGTTACTATCACACACAGCTAGATAACAGAAGATGGTATCATACTGTGTTAAACTTTAATGACAAATTTACAAACTAAAAGTAAAGCATGTGTAAGGCATTCAAAACATGTACAATTTGGCCCTGCCAACACAGGAAATAAGTCACCACTTACAGAGCAGTTGCATAGCAGCAAATGCACTCATACAACATTTTACAAAAACACTTAAAAAAAAACGTTTTACATAAATAATAAAAACGCATACAACAGCACTACAAAGGCCTTTTTGTACTTATTTATACTGGAAAACACTTTCAAATCTTGCAAAAGCATCGTGACTGGTCGTGTGTTGATTCACACTGTCTGAAATGCTTTTCAGCAAATGTACTGTGCAAATATGCCTCACTAAGAGTATTTGCTTCTACTATGTTTATATGTTAGATATAAACATGACAGGATTACATTTTAGCCAAAATTGCACTCAGGGAGACATATTTAAGTGTTTGTGGCAAGTAGAACAGGGCCAATGTTGTTGGTTCAAATGTGAAATGTGGGCAGATTTTAGCTGGGCTACCACTAAAACAGGGATAGATTGTGGGTAAGATTAAACCCATTTACATCTGCTGTGTTTACAGACCTCAAAGAAAACCCTAGGGCCACAGGTTGTTGTAACTTTTTGTTGAAATACAACAAATTAAATTGCTGGTTAAAAAAAATCATCTTGAAGCCTCGAGTCTCACTATCTTTGTATTTTCAAACCTGACAAGACAAGAGAGGGGTGGACTCACCGAGATAACAAGGGTCAGGGCACTTTCTCATTTACAAGCCTGCCACACCCTAAAGCACACCCTTCTTTGTCCCTCTTCATGCATTTAATGACCACATGTTTTCAACCAGATGTGAAACTAAAGCTGAAGGCTTTTCTTCATATGCTTTCAAATGTTTTTTGTCTTACTTCAGCTAGCTAGGCTACTGGCTATCAGTACTACTAACAAAGTATCAAACATGGTATCTTAAACCTGGATTAATTTTAATGGACACCATAAGGCATCATCTGTGCCTACAAAAATACTATCCCATAGTCCTATAGAAGTCGAAAAGGGAAAAAGAACAACAATCTTGACTTTTGTAAACCATAAACTGATGATTTTATGGGCTCTGTCACATATTTTGGGACATACTGAATAAAAAACTCAGTCTATTTTGTAAATTTTGGTCATCTTAAGTGTCAGAAACGAAGATTATTCAAGATAATCTCATTAGCTAAACAACTGTGATTGATTGCCAGTAAGCACGTGCTGTCACAGTTCCCTCCCTCACTCATCACATCTGATTTCAAAACATCAAGATGGTGATGGCAAAAACTCTCAGCTTGAGGCATCAAAACAGGGCTTCACAAATCACTGAGTGACATCACGGTAGCGACAGCCATCTTTTATACTGTCTATGGCTATTGATTGTTGTACTTTAGTGGTTAAGTAGCTAACTAACAAGCTATTTTATTTTTTCTTACGAATATGGAAGGAAGACTGACATCACCAGCGTCTCTCCTTCATCATGTGGCTGCATGCAATGGCAGTTGATGGTTAAGCCTCACCTAAACCTCTGCCGGGAAATGAAATCACAGTGGGCGGGACTGAATGTCTGCTATTAAACCCCCACCCCATCCTTGCAAGGTGTGTTGAACATTCCTTGCGAACCTTCTGCAGTGGTGCTGTGCTCCACTTTCAGTTGGTAAGGCTGCCATGTTTGCCGGTCCACAGCTCCCGAAGCTCCACCTGACATCCCAGATCTCTCAGGGCCGCTTTGCCTACATCACCGCAGTCTTGATGGTTCTGCAGCGCCTGGGCTATCAGCGCTTCTGCTCCCATCTCCAAGATTGGCTGGCTGAAGTTACTCATTCGTGCGACCAGATTTCTGAGCACCATACACCCTTGTTTCTGTAAAGAGCAGAACACCAAACGTGAATCACAGTCACAAAGACTCCAGATCCCAGGGAGCATATTGTTCACTGACGACATGATCTTACCTGCACGTTCACCACATCGGTATGAGTCTTCATAGCCTGCAGGGCAGCCAAGGCACCTCCATTCTCCATGATGGCCGTGCAGTTGTTGGGTTTACGTAGAGCAAGGACAGAGAGGCATGCACAAGCCTGCTCGCACACCTATGGCAGAAAGTGAGCACAATCTTAGAGGATTCTTTCAGTCAGTGTATCCCTCATTTGTGTGTTTGTTTGTTTCAATGCACAGAGACCAATTTAGCATGATTTAACATGTAGGTACAACAGTGACACTCACAGCAGAGTTGCTCATGTGCCTGTTCATGGCGATGACAATGAGCTGAACTCCACCGGCATTAACAACAGCGTCTTTCACGTCATCATTTCCTGCTATGGCTCGGATCGCGCTAAGGACCTGCCGAACCAGCTCCTGCAGGAAGACAAACACTTCAGCGAAAAAAAAACAAACCTGGACTCGATCCTCATCACGATCTTTGCTTCTTGTACGTTACCGCTGACTCATAGCTGTCTGCGAGCAAAGTCATCATGAGTTTTAATCCACCCATATCACAGATGTCTTGACAGAACTCATTCCGTACAGCCAGACGAGATAAAGTCGCACACAGCTCACTCAAAACAGAAGTGTTGCCAAGGTGATCTGCATGGAAGATATCCAAGAAATCAAAATTATTTAAGTGTACCAGCAAATACAAAGCGACTAGAAAGCGCAGAAGCTAAATCTATATTGATATGATCAGCTGGCCTTACCTTTGGCAGCCTCAATCAACACCTTCAGTCCGCTGTGTTCAAGAACAATACTCTTAGCGTGTTCATGAGCGTGCCCAAACGTAACCCGCACGTCATCATCAAAGGTCATGACTCGGAGAGTTGCGCAGGCCTCCTTAACCATCTCCACACATTCACCGTGCTGTGTGATGGCAACAGTGAGCAGCGGCAGGACGCCACCTTTAACAAAATCCTGCCTGTTCTGTTCGTGCTTTAAACAGCAGTGCCGCACGGCACTGATGGCGACCCGTGTAACAGAAGACTCTGCCTGGTACTTCTTAAGGACATCCAATAGGAACTGCCGGCCCTCTGCATCCAGCAAGTCTGGCTGTCCATCCGTCAGCGCGGCCAGAGCAGACAGCGCAGCTAATGCTGCTCCCTGCTCCTCCGTGCTCTTTTTGCAGTAGGACAGGATGACGGGGTAGGCGTCTTTCTGGGCAGCGAGGTACCGCTGGGCGAATCCCAGTGAGCACTGCTCAGTGAAGCTTTTTAGGTCAGCTGTCACACCAGCAGAGTTTCTTCCAATTCGGAGGGACTCCAAAGCCTGAAATGATTAAAAAAAACATTTTTAATATAGATAAAACTTTGGAATAAGCATTCTCTTTTCAGGAAAACAGATCAAGACTCACCTGTAGGACCTTGTGTGTCTGCTCTTCTTGACTGTCAGCCGATGATAATGTTGGGACAGCTTTCACTATGCAACTGAGGTCCACACCTGCATTAACACATACGATTAGATTTAATGCTGACTCACAGCACAACATGAAGTTCACAAAAAAAAGCTCCAAAGGGCAACATAACTTCTTTATTGACCATTTTAACATCTCAGAAGTGGCAGTAACAACAAAAAAAAGCTATTGTAATTATCAGAGTGTCAGTGCACTCTCTTCTTCATATTTGACGGGCCTGGAGCCTTTCACAGGTCTCGCTGGGCGAGAAGTGGACTAACCTTATGTGTTAATTGTTATTCAAGACAGAGGCTTCAAGCTGATTAAAGTAAGGACAAGGAATAAATTACTTTTTAGTACTTATTGCTTTCCCAACATTCCCAAAATGTCTTTACTGTAGCTTCTGTTAGAAGCAGCAAACCTCAGCCACAGGATCTATATATGAAGATTTGTTTGTAAAAAAAAAAGAAAAAGAAAAGAAGTTTGTATCAGTGCTTTGTGCACATTTGATTGAGAAATAAGTGAATTCATAAAGTTAATCTGTCATTATCTTTAAAAAAATAAGGAAAGTTAAACTCTGTGTGTGCTCCAACTTCCTCCCACAGTCCAAAGGCGTGGAGTTAGTGGGGTTGGATTAATTGGTGATTCTAAATGTGTCATATGTGTTAATGTGAGGATGAATAGTTGTCTCTCTCTCTGTGTTAGTCCTGAAACAGACTGGCGACCTGTCCAGCGTGTACCCTGCCTCCCGCACTATGGTAAGCTGGGATAGGTTCCAGCCCAGGGGGACAGATAGATGGATGGAGCAACGGACAGATAGATGGCAGAAGCAAATGGAGAGGGTCACTGTGGGGACAGGAGGGACAGCAGCAGTAAAAGTAAATTATAGCTGATTAAAGTCTGAAGAGAAAAGAAGCCAACTGATCCAGTTATGAAGAGTTTGCTACTTTATTGAGGATTGTGGCAGTGGGATATAGTTTGTAGCTTGGCTGTAAGAGGGAAAGGGATGGGATGGTTGAATGCATGGCACACTTGCATTTGCTAAATACTCTCTTTCCCTACATGGTAAGTGCAGGGGTGCCAGAGGACGAGAGAACAGAGCAAAGCACAGAAACAATAATGCTCTGAATCTGGGCAGCTGGTTGAGCAAACGTTTTTCTTTTGTGCTTGATAATAAAGAAGTCTGTGTGTGTGCTCTGTGTGTCTGTGTACAGTCTTCCCTCTCTGTTACTGAGGAGAACCAGCTACAAAGACATATTCATGAGAATGAAACTTGAACAGACTGAAAAGGAAAAAGACAAAGGGATGTTGCTTCTTTTTTACAAGCACACAAATAAAGCAAGACCAGTTTAAGACTGCATACCTTTGCTGAAAAGCCCCTACACACCATGCATGAACTGGCTTCCTTTTCTGCCTTTCAGTTCTATTTGTTACTGCTCCCCCACACCTACCCCTAGACCTTATTTGTGGGGATGTAACAGTGTACTTGTACAGACATGTTGCAAAATGTTCAGTTTTGCTCTCACAATGCAAATCAAATCCAAAATTTAATCACTTTAATTTTAGGCCAAGCTCCACCTCTCCTAAAAAGTTTCATGCCAATCCTTTCATAAGTTTTGAGTAATACAGTGACCAAACAGACAAACTGAACTAATCATAAAACCACAGTGAAAGAGGTAAAAGAATGGTTACACAAATCAAAAACAGAGATTAATCTCGATTTGGCCGATCAAAAATCAGAGTTTTATGATCTGGACCGTTTCTAATGCTGCTGATGTGGAAAAACTGCAACATTTTTTACTTTGGATTTTTGCAAACAGACTAAAGATTCGCAGTGCACAGTGCAGTAAACAGGGAATCTGTCTATCAGCATAGTAAGTTCACCTTCCCATTAAATGAAGGATCAAGGCTAGAGTTGTCAAACATTAAGTCCAGGGCCCAGAATCAAATGTGTAGTGAAAATAATAGAAAAAGCTGTATCAATGGTCCAGCACACTTAAGATCAAAGTGGGCTGTATGCGGCCTGCAATGTACAATGAGTTTGACATTCCTGATCTCGGCTAACATCTGCATGCATACAGATAACATGACATGTTACAGATGTTAGAATATAAGGCAAAACTTTAAAGTAAAGAAATTTTAACATAAAACAAAATAAAATGTGATAGAACCAAAAAAATAAAGGACACATGTTTCATGAGCACTTTACATCTTCTTCTTCCTCCTCTTCTTCTTTTGGCTGCTCTCTTTAGCCGTTGCCACAGGGCATTGTCTGCCTCCATCTCACCCTATCACTGGCATCCTTCTCCGTCACGCCAACCTTCTGTGTATCCTCGTTCACTACATTCATCTACACTACAACCTTCTCTGTGGTCTTCCTCCTGAGCACTGCACATGCTCATGGCTCCAGTCTTCTGCAGCTTGACCATCAGTGACTTAATTTCAATAGACATGCAACTCTTACCTTGTCATTCGGCCTGAAGTTTATATCAATCTTAACCGACACGGTGACACCCAGACAAAGTGTGTAACAGTCAGTGTACATTAACCAACTGTGACATTTACCTTGAGACTCAAACTGCTCCACAGCCTCCCTCAAAGCCTCGTCTGGGTCCATCTCAAACTCCTCCATGTTTTCCCTGACAGCAGCATCAAAGGTCTCCTGTGTGATTCTTCGTTTGGCCATTTTGCCTCGTTATCTTCAACTCTGAAATTAAATGCAACAACGAAGTGAAACCTCAGCAGTGTTGGGCGGATTCAGTCTCCACTAAGGTAGCTAATACCGACAGCTACTGTTGGCTAAAGCACATGAGCTCCATTCCCTGTTACTGTAGCCGGTGAAGTTTCCAGGGCAATCGTTAAATAAGACCCTTACTGTGGTATTTCTCGTTGTTTTCATTGTTATTTTATATGAGCCGATTAAAAGTAATTCAGTCAAATGCTTTGGATATTACCTCCGCCCTGAAAGAGGATGCTTTCTCCGGTATTATGAATGAAGCGATCACAGTAACGCAGTTTTCGCTGTCGACTGTTTGGTACTATTCACAGAGAAGAGAAATTGTGCGGAAAAATGTACGTGAATAGCAAATTTCTCCAAATGTCCCACACAAATTTTTGCTCTTCTCGAACATAGTCTGAAAAGCATAGGTTCCTCTCACAAATTTTACAATTACTACATTATATCTTGAGAAGATGGCAGTAAATTATTCATATTATTTATATGTGATTATTTAACGTAACATGTATTTTTTAGTGGATGATAAAAAGGATTTGAAATGATATTTTTACTTTGACGAATACCCTTTCAAAATAAAGGAGGGGATTTCAATTATTTATAAAAGTAACTTGTCAAAAAACTAAATGATGGAAAATTGTTCTTTCTGTTTGAATATTGTATCCACGTCAGGCAAGTTTAACAGATAGGTTTACAACATACTAAATATGTTCTTGTTTGGTGTGTCCATATTTGAAAAGCTATAACCGGAAGTCATTTTTCTTCGGACTAGCTCCCTGGCGCTATTACTCCGATTCATGCAAATGACAGAGGTGGAACGCGCAGCTGGGGCAAGCTGAAGCTGGGGACGTTGTCCCAACGGTAAATTGTTGTTTTTATCCCCGGACGACTTGGGATGGCAGCGAGCACAGAGGCCCCGGAGCCTTGGTATCTGGCTCTGCTGGGCTTTGCGGAACATTTCCGCACGTCGAGTCCTCCAAAGATCCGACTCTGCGTCCACTGTCTGCAAGCAGTGTTTCAGTTCAAGCCGCCCCCGAGGGTCGAGGCCCGGACTCACCTCCAGCTGGGCTCGGTGCTGTACCGCCACACAAAGAACAGCGAGCTGGCCCAGAGTCACCTGGAGAAAGCGGTGAGCAGCACTGATGATCAGTACTAGAAACACCTCCACCACCGTTTTATGATCACTGCACCACCCAGGGTCCACCGTGCTCTCACTGATGATCTGTTTCCTTTTTTTTCTTCCTTAGTGGTTCATATCACAGCAGGTATCCTTTTTCATGTGCAGTATTAAAACCCATGCAACCCGTTTTTGTTTTTTTAAGTTGTGCCACTTAAGCATCTCCTTAAAACCAGGTGAGTTTTCACATTGTAGGTTGCATCTTTAACAACACCTATCAGATCTCTCAGTTTGAAGATGTCAAGTTTGAGGCAGCGAGTATTCTCTCCGAGTTTTACTGTCAACAGGTATGTACATCCATGTTATCATCATCTTCCCTGTTTGTAAAAAAAAAAAACAATGCTTGGACAAACTTTTGCAGAGGTGCATTTGTTTATTTTATTGGGTTTTGCTCGCAGTGACGGCATACTCACTGCTGTACCGCTGAGCACACCTGAGTCACGTGCAAGCCTTGTGTTCAGAACTCAGAGATAACAACCTGAAAAACCTCTGGCCAATAATCTGAATGAATAAAATGCATGCTCTCATGCATGTGTGTTTGTGTATATATAACTGTCTATGTGCCATATTGATGTCATGTTAGCATCCTCTCTTGTCTACTCTATTCTGTACACTGAGAGCAAAGAAGTAACTGGAGCTTAATTCTTTGTGCGTGTACACATAGTTGATCAATAAAGCTGATTCTGATTCCAATTAGATTGTAACTTAAAGTCAAGAGAAAATTAATTCAGATTCTTTCAATTACTTATTTGCTTCTTTCTCCAAGAACTTGGTGGACTCTGCAAAGCCGGTGCTGCGGAAGGCCATCCAGATCTCCCAGCAAACTCCCTACTGGCACTGCAGGCTGCTTTTTCAGCTGGCAGTAAGAAACATCTCAACATTACAAACCTACTCGTGCCCGTTATGTTAATTTGAAGCGCGGCTGATGTATGAGCGCAATGTTGTTCTGTCTCCTTCAGCAACTGCACGCACTGGAGAAAGATTTGGTGTCCGCCTGTGACTTATTAGGAGTTGGAGCAGAGTACGCAAGAGTCATGGGATCAGAATACACGAGGTAAACGGGTCAGATTTCTGTTTTCCGAGTGAGATAAGTGATTCATTCGTGGTCATGCATTTACTCACGTTAAGTTTGTTCTTTCATTTTCCCACAGAGCCCTCTTCTTGTTAAGCAAAGGAATGGTAAGCTTAAATCATTCTCCTCTAACTAAAAGCGCTCGATGTGTTAACTTGTGTTGTTTTCTGATTATGCAGCTTCTTAATGTGTGTTTGTGGCTCTGTAGCTACTGCTGATGGAGAGGAAGCTGAGCGAGGTCCACCCGCTGCTGACACTATGTGGGACCATTGTGGAGAACTGGCAGGGAAACCCCTTTCAGAAGGAGTCGCTGAGAGTTTTCTTCCTGGTATTGCAGGTTACACACTACTTGGATGCTGGACAGGTATTCCCGTGGTTCATTACCGGCTCTAAATAGATACGTTATTGTTGAAGTTTCACAAAAATGTAAGAAACATCTATTTTAAATCAAGTTTTTTTTTTTAACCCCATAACTTGTGCCAGATATCAAATATAAATCTGTATGCTTTTACATTATGCTAAAATGATGCTCAGAGCAAAGTTAAAGCTGCAGTGTGTAAAATCTCACCACTAGATGTCAGTAGATTGCAGATTGTGGATAACTAAGTTCTGTCTTCTTATCCATCCCAATTCAAATGCATAATTCCAGCGACGGTGGCCTCTGTAGGGCAAACAACTCTCACCTCTGCTCATCTGTAATCAGTGTAGGCTGTCTGTCCGCTGTTTACCTCAGATATCAATATGTGTCCACATCTATTTAGTGTATTGGAGGCTGTGAAGCTTTGTAAAAGGATATTGGCTGTTGAGTCAGTGAAGCTCAGTTCTGTTCGATAACAGCATTACTGTGATGAGTTGTTGAGGATATGCTGAACTTTTCTGCCAGTAAACGCTGCTCTATTTGCTGTTGTTAGCCAGCATTGGTGAAACTTTCTTTAAAGTGGGTCTAACATTGCTGGGCTCTGATGTTTGGTGAATAAACCCTCATGTGGTGAGAGAGTGTAATCAGTTTATCGCAGCAAAAGTGGAATTTTCAGGACACTCGAGCCTGGCAATAATGTTAGCTTATAACCAGCTGCTGATGTTGTTTAGCCGTCTTATTGTCAGCTACCTGGAGATAAGATGCTTGTGTGCGTTTTTTGTGTGTTAGAGCCCTGACTTCAGTTCATAGATGAGGCTTCAGGTGTTGAGGAGGTTTTATCTAGATGTCGGTGGGTTATCTCTTTCCTTCACGCTTTCACTTCCTCGGTGACGGGGCCCCTTCTCTGACGAGAAAACACATTTATGATTCTTCATATCTGGAAGTGCAGGCACGATTTGCTTCCACGTCACAGGAACGGCTACGACTTCTCTTCTCCCTGACCTTTGGTGTCCTACTTATGCGGCTGGTCTCTAGCCACATACATAAAACTGGATTTAGTGAAAGGTCCACTGTATTTAAGATTAAAGGGTAACATGTCAGCTTCTACTCACTGGTGCCTGCTCCTACTTATTTTTAATGGATTAATTCTCAAGTTATTAGAATGCATACATTTGTTGGAAGGCATATTTACACACTAATCACTGTATAAAAAGAGTATTCAATTTTATTTTTTCTTTTAAATGACCGACTGTAACCTTCAAAGTGTCTGTGCACGTGTCGGATTCAGGTAAAGAGCGTGAAGCCCTGTCTGAAGCAGCTGCAGCAGTGCATCCAGACCATCTCCACTCTCCACGACGATGAGATCCTTCCCACTAATCCAGCAGCCCTTTTCCACTGGCTGCCCAAGGAGCACATGTGTGTGCTTGTGTATCTGGTGAGTCGCTGTTACTGACACACAGCTTGCGAAAGACTCTGAAAGTATAGTGCAAAAGCAGATAACGTTTTGTGTAACATCGCTTGTTTGTTTTTGTCTGAAAAGGTGACTGTGATGCACTCCATGCAGGCGGGATACTTGGAGAAAGCACAGAAGTACACAGACAAGGCGCTCATGCAGCTGGAGAAGCTGAAGAGTAAGTTTGATGGTGTACACTCGCTTATTATTTCCTACTTGATGATGGTGTTAATCAATCACCTCCGATTTGTGTGCTCAAAGTGCTGGACAGCAGTCCCATCCTGTCCACGTTTCAAGTCATCCTGCTGGAGCATATCATCATGTGCCGGCTGGTCACTGGACACAAGGCCACAGCTTTACAAGAAGTGAGTCACCAGCTGCAGAGATTTTATCCTTACGTTGTCAGATGAATGATTCTGGATAAAGGCATAGATTCTGTGACATTAACGTACTTTGGAGATTCTCAGCAGTTTGCAGTTGTAGCTTAAGATTGCAATGGTTTGTGTTCAGATTTCTCAGGTTTGCCAGCTGTGCCAGCAGTCACCCAGGCTGTTTACCAATCACGCAGCCCAGCTTCATACACTCCTGGTAAGTCTGCAGTCAAAGAAAATGCACATGAGCAGCAGCTGTGAGCACTTCTATGAAAGCAGAGGTTTTGGTAGCTTCGTGATCTGGAGCATTCAGGTGCGTTTTAACACAGCACGAAGAAGGAAGGACATCAGCAGTGACGTTAAAGGAACAATTTTTGCTGCCCATCAGTCTGAGAAGTGAGTCACTGAAGTTCATTCTACACTGAGGATGATTATTCACCCCAAGGTCAGCGCGTGTACTGCTCAGAGAAACTGCAGAAACACTCAAGAGCTACATCTCAGACTGCAGACCTCAGTTGGCACATTAGAAAACTGTATACCAAAGTATTATAGAGTCAGATGTGAAGCCATCTGCCACACAGATAAAGGTTGGCTGACAGTGAGTCATGCAGTGGGACAATGATCCCAAGGAAACCTACAACAGTGGCCGAGTCAAAGTCCAGACTTTAACCCGACTGAAAGTCTGTGGTGGGACCTTAAGAGAGCTGTGCATAAGTGAATGCTCACAAACCTCCACGAGATGAAGCAACGTTGT